GAATGGGGGGTGGGAGGAAGGGAGCGGAGCCGGAGGCTGAGCCCCCACGGATGCGGGATGCGGCGGGATGTGAGGGAATAACCCCAGGAAGACTCCGGCCCCGGCTGCCGGCACCCGGCTTTGGCTGCCTTTTATGCTGCACATCTGCAGGTGTCTCCCCCCCAAAAAACCCTTTAGCTGGCGGGGAGCTCCGCCGGATGAGTTATTAGAAGAGATTTGTAATTTTTTTATAGATTTTTTTTAAATTTTTTTAATACCCTGAACTCACCCAAAGGCATGTGCTGTTTTTTGGGGGGTTTGCTTCTCTGCGGGGTAGTGTCTCGCTCCCGGTGACCGGCAGAGGAAAAAAAAAAGAATCACTGGATTCTCTAGGTAAGACGCTTTCTTCTTCCTATGCTTTAATCTCTACTTACTGATGAAAGCAATTGCTTGTCTGGAGCTGATGAGTTTTCTTACTCTGGCAAATGGAGCAGTCCTTCCCGGTGTCGGTTGGTAAATCAGTGCCTGGCCGTTTGATTTTTGCCTTTATGAAAACAAATTGGCTTTTTGCTCCCAAATTGCAGGGTGGAGGCAATTGGGAAATAATAGATAGATTTAACTTTCCCCCCCACCGGGGCTTTGTCTGAAACTCTACCTATCCGCCCGTAAAGCAAATCCCTTCCACTCAACCACATTTGGGTCTTTTTAATCGCTGAAAGTTTATGATTTTGAACGAGCCACCTACTTTTTTAGGTGGAGTGGGAGGTTGGTTTTTACTCTGTGCCGTTTACGTGACAAAGAGCCCCTGCCAGGGCAGGCACCGGACCCGCTGCCGCTTTGTGTCCCCTGAATTGTCCCCATCCTCTTCCCGGGGACCCAAATCCATCACCTGCCGAGGGCAAAGCCCGGGATTACGGGGGGAGCAGGAGTCGGGGGGGGGTGTGTGTGCACATGGGCTGGGCAGGAGGAACGGCTGCCGGTTTAAACGCAGCCGTAACTCACTCTCGGGCTGTAAATTGTAAATCAGCGTTATTTTTCCTCCTGTGACCATATAAATGCGCATATTGAAACTACCTGCTTGAGAGACATACTTCTTTATATGCCCATATGGACCTGGCAAGCTATGGAATGTAAAGAAGTATGTATTTCAGGTGGGAACCCTTCTCGGAGGAGCAATGTGTGACCCCGGGCAAAGCAGGGGAGAAAGACAGATTATTTTATTTTTTATTTTTTATTTTTTATTATTATTATTTTATTATATATGATTTTTTTTTTAACTGCCTGACCTGGCAGACCGACTGGGGAGTCAATTGATGATCTTGTTCCAGCGCGTGTATTGTTCTGTCACTTTGCCTGTGTCAGCAGGTGGAAATGCTCATCAGGACATTAAATATTCAATATGCTGACTGCGGCATGGGCTTTGAAAGGCGATGCCAGAGGAAAGCTGGCTGTCCACTCCCGGCCTTTCACAGGGATGCAGGCCAATCCCTCCTTTTTTTCCTGCTTCTCCATCAACCCTTTCCGCCCCCCCCCCCAAAAAAAAAATAAGGCTAGATAGCAAACAGAGCTGCCTGGTCTTTAAATCTAGGAGAAACAAAAGGAGATGGAAGAGGGGGAGAAGAAGAGGGGAAAAAGGACACGACAGTTGTGAGTTGAGTGTGCGGGGTTTTAGCTTGAAATGAAGGTGCAAACTCCGCTTTTCCACTCTTTCCCCTGTTAAAACTTTTTGTGCTTTCAACTGGAGAGAAGGAGATCTCCCTGGTCGGCCTGACGAGCCATCGAGCCAGCAGATCACAGCGAAAGCCAGAGGAGGGCTCTCAATGCAGGGGTCTTATTTCCCCAAAGGAATCTAAGCAAATGAGCTCCTTTAATTCTGGAAGCCTTCGCTGGCTTTCGCTTTTCCTTTTTTTTTAACCTTTTCCAATGAGTTGGCTGTTTTTTCCAGGATCCTACAGTAATGAGGCGAGATGAAAGGAACTGAGTTTAAACACCACTTTAACGTTCTGCCCAAGCGGGAGTCGCTTCGAGGGGGTTTAAAGCTTTCAGCCCAGAAATCCTCATGCCTGGAATGATGGGCAAAGCCAAACTCCTCAGAGAGCTGATCCCCAAACTCATGTTACCATCTCCACGGGGTGCCTGAGA